CACCACCATCACCACCACCACCAACCACCACCAACAACCATCACCACCACCATCACCCACCACCACCACCACCCTCCCCGGCCACCGCCGCCCCCTCATTGAGCAGATGCCGGCTGCAAGCTCCCACCACCATCACCACCATCACCACCACCACCAACCACCACCACCAACCATCACCACCACCCTCCCCCGCCACCGCCGCCCCCTCACTGAGCAGATGCCGGCTGCAAGCTTCAGCAGCCCTCTGTGCTCTGTTCCTATCGCAGCAAAGTTGACATGGCTGCTCTCATCTGTGCCTGCATTGGTCTGACTCCCCACTGGGCTGTGTTCTCCATGCATACAGGGCGCCTCCGCGGACCTGGCCCACTGAGGACATGGAAGAATGTGAGATTCTTCCACTCAGGGACTGAACAAACTTAGCAAATATAAGTTGCATGGAGACCTTCCCATCTTTTTCCACACCAGTATTTTTGGCACCTAGAATAGTATCTGGCAGATAGTAGGTGCTCCATAAATCCTCAGTGAATAAATGAAAGGAGCAACATCCAACAAGAAGTAGGTGTCCTCAGGGGGAACCACATGGACCTGAGTAGAAGAGCCCAGAGTGAAATAACTGGGCCCTAAAGAGCGAAATCAGAGGGAAAGATGTTGCTTCAAAGCGGAGTTTCCTTCAACCAAGTGGGCCAATGCCCCACCCCACCATGTTACCTGGGGAGCTCCGGACCCGACTCTCCTGAGCGGGACTCTGAGGGAGCGTCCTCCTCAGCGCCCACCCCGGCCTCCCGCAGGTTCCCCGCCTTTCAGGTCACTACCTCGGGCGCCTAGACAACCCTGGCCTCCGAGCCGCGGGATTCGCCGACCACAAGAGGCGGGGCGGGGCCTCCGCACGTACGTGCCGTTTTCCCAGCTCTCGGTGGAGGGCGGAGCGTACCTTCGCAGAAATGGCTGGTTGGCGACTATGCGCTTGCGCAGATGGAGCTCCCTAGCTACAGGGGCCAATGCGCATTGAGGATATGCGCATGCGCAGATGGATCCCCTCTCTCTCCCCCCCCCGCCCCCAGCCACAGGGGCCAATTTTCACGGAGGCGGTGGGTGGCACTCGGTCACCCTATTCCTGGGTTTCCCTTAGAAATTTGTTTTTCTTTCCTCTAGTTAGTTTCCGTAGTTTTATTCATCCTATTAAGGCCATTATACTTTTTGCCATATTCTCCCTACCATCTACGCTATTGTTTATTTTTCTCATTAATCGTTTGTTTTCTCTCCATTTGGGGTCACAAAATCAAAATTTTATGCAAAAGAGTATAAAAATCTTCCTTTTTCCCCCTAGCCACCCAGAAAGAGTCCCTGGAGGCAGCTAGTATCAGTTTTTTGTACTTCCTGTTAGGTCGAAAGGGGGTCCAGGAGCTGATGCATGCCTCTGCCAGGCAGATGGTGATGTAGATACTGGGCCCTTCCTAGAATCGTAACAGGCCAGTGCACCAGGTAGATGGTGACGCAGATACTGGTCTCGCCCTGGAGTTCCTAACAGGTCAGCTTACCAGGCAGATGAGGACACCTGTAAACCGTGAGGACCCCCGCAGCGGGAACTCCCACAGCTCATGCTCCCCACCCTCACTGAACAGCTGTATAAAAAAAGCGCCCCCCTCCCTGTTGGTGCGGTTCCACATGCCCTGTCTTTGGAATCCGTGGGCAGCCCAGGGACCCAGAATAAAGCCTTTCCTTTCTTTCTTTTCTGATTAACTGGGCTCTATTTCCTATGCCGCCCCCTGAGCCACCTAACCTAACACTTCCTTTCAAAGATATTCTATGCATATGCAAGCAATTAAACCAAGTTTGAGAAGAATTTTTATATTAGTACTATCAATAGAAATTCATTATCCCTTGCCATAAAAGAGTACAGTGGAACTAAGTTCAAAGAAAACAAAACAAGTTATTAATTTGTATCTATTGTTTGTTTTTTAAATAAATTTTTATTGATTTTAGGAAGGAAGGGAGAGGGAGAGAGATATAGAAACATCAATGAGGGAGAATCATTGACCAGCTGCCTCCAGCAGATGCCCTGACTAGGGATCAAATCTCGACCTCCTGATTCATAGGTCAACACTCAACACTGAGCCAGGCCTAGCCAAGCTATCTATTGTTTGTTTAAAGCACTTGACCCTGCTTTTGCTTTAAAGGGATTAGCCAAGTGTTAGATCCCAAGTGTTAGTTGTCAAACCAACACTCTCCTGAACATAATCAGAAAGTTGTTGGGTTTTTTTAGAAAGAGTTTTTTTTAAAGAAAGATTAAAGAGAACTGAAAAGGGAATCACTTTTCACACTGCAGTGTGTGCCCTCTGAAATTCACACTTGGCAGTAGCGAAACAGCACCAGGTGTTAGACCAGTGGGGTTCGACCAGACCTGAGTTCAGCAACCTCACTACTTGAATTCTGGCTAGGAAACAATTCAAAGCCAAGACTCAAACTACTGTATACAGAAGTAGAACTAATTTGTAGAAGAAAATGGGCTTAGGAAACAAGTTATAGAGGCAAAGGAAGGGCTCTTGGAGCTTAGAAGTAAGAAAGGTAAAGGTGAGCCACCTGTCAGGGTGACATACAATGCATTTAATGCTAACTAACAGGCCCTGACCAGATAGCTCAGTTGGTTAGAGCATTGTCCCCAGACACTATTTTTGTAGGTTTGATCTCTGGTCAGAGCACATACAAGAAGCCAAATCAATGTCTCTCTCCTTTCCTCTCTCTCTAAAGTCAATCAATAAAAAAAAAAAATTAAATGCTAATAATGAACAACTTGTTAGACAAATGGTTTATCAATGCCAAACTGAGTTACTTTATCATTTATTAAACTGGGACATCTTAAAAAATTATATCAACAAAATGGATTTCACCTTATAATGCACTTATTTTCCATTTTACTCTCAAGGTCACACTGGAATTGTCACATTGAATGAGTTCAAATTTAAGGATAAAAGTAAATCTCAATTCAAAATGTTTTATGATGTATAGAAATTCTTTGTACTATTGTTGAAACTTTTCTATAAGTCCAAAATTTATTTTACAAAAAATATTAATATTATTCTTTAAAGAATACCTTGATTTTTAGAGAGAGGAAGAGAGAGAAACATGGATGTGAGAGTACTACGTTGATCTGCTGCACACCCCCTACTGGGACCAAGCCAGAAACCCAGACATGTGCCCTTGACTGGGAATCAAAACAGCAACCTCCTGGTGCACAGGACCATACTTAACCGAGCCACAAAAAATTATGTAAAAAAAACACACACAAAAAAACTTTATGAGGAAACAGGGCTGAGTTCCCGGAGGTGACTGCGCAGGCGCAGGGAGAGGGGAGGAGGGCCCGCAGATGGAGGCGATGTTTGCGCTGGAGTCAGGGTGGGAGCCGCTGGGAAGCGACCGAGAGGACCGAGCCCTGCTGAGGTCCTCCGAGAACATCTTGTGGACAAGAACGTGCTTCTCTGGCTCAGGGTGCGGGTTGCCTGGCCATGAGAAACCACAGGACGCCGCTGCCCGGAGCAATGCATTCCACCTGAGCAGCGCAGGAGGAGCAGGCCATGTACTTATCCGCCCCACCTGCCCTGTGCGCGCTGCCCCTCCCCACACGAGGACTATGGGGAGGAGGAAAGGATGCCACCACACGGGTGAAGCCCAAGTCCAGGGCGGCAGTGACGTTCGGGGACCTGGCCATCTACTTCTCCCAGGAGGAGTGGAAGAGGCTGAGCCCACGTGCAGAGAGGTCTGTACAAGGACGTCATGTTGGAGAACTACCAGACCCTGGTCTCTCTCGGACTGTCCCGTCAGAAGCCAAATGTGATCGCCTTCTTGGAGAAAGGGAAAGCACCCTGGATGGAGGTATTCGTGAAAAGACACCGTGGCCTGGGATGCTGCAAGGACGCCAGACGCGTTCAGGTGGGCGAGAGCCACAAAAAATTATTAAAAAAAAAAACACACAAAAAAAACTTTATGAGGGAATAGGGCTGAGTTCCCGGAGGTGACTGCGCAGGCTCAGGGAGAAGGGGCTGCGTGCCCGGCCTGGAGGCAGGTCCCCCGGCAGAAAATGCCTGAAGAGCAGTGTATCTCTGAAGCTGAAAGAAGGCGGCATTATCAACAGAAAATGTCTGCAGAGCAACGTGCCTCTGACACTGAAAGAAGGCGGCGTTGGCGACAGAATTTATCTGAAGAGCAGCTATTGGCACAACGTAGAGCTGAAGCCGAAAGAAGCCTGCGTTATCCACAGAAAATGTCTGAAGAGCAACGTGCCTCTGAAGTTGAAAAAAGGCCGCGTCGGTGACAGAATGTATCTAAAGGGGAACTATTGGCACAATGTACCTCATTAAAAATGAGGCTACACATGCGATCGTTTCTCCAAAAAAATGAGCAGGTTCAAAAATTAAATGAAGAAATTTTGGATATTCTCGATGGAGATTTTCACTCATATTTGAGTGATGATTCCATTGATTCAACAGATGATGCTGAAAAGGAAAATTTTCCCATCGAATTTCGTAGGAATATTCCTACCTGCACCTGTTTTCGAACAGGGTCAGTTATATGTTGCTTTCTCTCGAGTTCAAAGAGCGTGTGATGTTAAAGTTGTAAATACTTCAGCACAAGGGAAATTAGTAAAGCACTCTCAAAGTGTTTTTAGAATAAGTTTAACCAAGTTATCACTTGTTTGTATCAGTGTTATTTTTCTATCATGTTTTTAGATCATGTTTTGTTGTTTTCATATCATTGTTTGTATATCATGTCTTATTATATCATGTTGTTATTGCTTATTAATAAACATTATTTTAAAAAAAAACAAAAAACATGCTATGGTTGGGAAATGCAGATCCTTAATACCAGAAGGATGTGGATCAAGGCACAATACCAATCTCACACTTGGTAGTCTCAAGCCCAAGGTGCCAAAGGAAACTGTGCTCCCACTTTTTTGCAAATGCAAATGTTAATGCCAATGGACACCACTTAGCTACATGTGACAACTGCCCTTTTACTCTTTCAGGTTGTCAATGAGATCCAGGGAGAGGCTAATGAAGGACCTGCATGGCACAGAAAACAAAACCGACTTGGGAGACCCTGAATGGCTCTGGCTCTCACTTGATCCGGGAATAAGACCTGGGTTTTAGTGTTGTCTTTGCCACCATGTGACTAGATGGGCGTGTCACACAACCTGTCTGGGCTCGCTTCTTCATTTTCAAAAGGCAGGAGTGGGCTAAATTCTCTCTAAAATTTTTTCCCACCTTTAAGTTTTATGCGTTAATCCTAATCTTTGGACAACCTTTGTTCAGGCTGGTTTTTCTCCAGAAAACAAACTTGAGAGCACTGACCCAACCTGATTTTCTTATTGTATACTCTACTTGACAGCCACTGCCTTCAGAAATCAGCTGTACTTTTGTGGTTACTAATGGCACCACTGCCTGCAAACTTCCCTAACACATTCTTCACAGGCAAGTGGAGGCAAATGGTTTTTTTTGCAGGCAACAGTATGAAACTGAATACAAATGCTGGCAAGGAGCCTAGAGATAAATAATAGGTTCTTATCCTAGCCAGTTTGACTCCATGGATAGAGCATAGGCCTTCAGGCTGAAGGGTCCCAGGATGGATTCTGGTCAGGGGCACATGACTGGGTTTCAGGCTCGATCCAGTAGGGGGTGTGCAGGAGGCAGCCATCAATGATTCTCTTTCATTGATGTTTCTCTCTCTCTCCCTTCCTCTCTGAAATCAATAAAAATATATTTAAAAAAATAATTGACTTTCTATCCACTTAGTATGGCCTATAGTAACACTGTTCACAAACATGGGTCTAGCTTTATGAAATAAAGGTGGAAAGTTCAAAGTAGTGAGTGACTTTGAACTTTAAGTGAACTAAGTGAATCTTGAACAAGAGCAAGACAACAGAACTTGGTACATCTCTAATGCCCAAAAAATAAGTTCCCTATTTTCCTGCTTCTGAAAATTGTTCAAGCTTAGTTTTTTAAAAAGATTGAAAAACCGCTTTATTATCAAGATATGTATAATCTATTTATGCCTAATACCTCACTAGTTCAAACGCCTTACTCTAGTTTTTTCCCCCCCAATAAATATATGAATTAAACCAAATTACCAGGTAGAAAACACTTTCAAGTGTATGGGAAAGAAGAAATTCCCTTGAGGGCTCTTATGAAGAACAGAGATTTTTTCCTATTTAGCTCATTTCCATTCAACTTAAAAAAATGGGAAAAGTCCTTCATAATTATCCTTTAGAAATCATTAAGATTTCATGAGGAAAGAAAGAGAAGCACAAAGTGGGTAAGTTCCCTACAGTATCTAATATATGAACAAGAAAAAGAACTAATTTTTCATTATGGTGAGATGAATGAAAACAATTTGGACTAATAAAATCTGGGTATATTTAACATATCTCTGAAACCCATTCTCCTTATTGTTCAAATCAAAACTACTATTGCCCTAGCTGGATTGGCTCAGTGGACAGAGCATCAGCCTGCAAGACTGAAGGGTCCCCAGTTCAATTCCAGTCAAGGGCACATGCTCAAATTGCAGGCTCAATTTCCAGTAGGGGGCATGCAGGAGGCAGCCAATCAATGATTGTCATCATTTTTTAATTATTTTTTTTAATTTTTTTTATTGCTTAAAGCAGGGGTCCTCAAACTACGGCCCGCAGGCCACATGCAAATACAAATATTGTATTTGTTCCCGTTTTGTTTTTTTACTTCAAAATAAGA